ATCATTTTCCCCAGGAAACAGGACCACAGCAGTCGGCGACTCCCACATCAGTTAGAGAAGGGAAACAGGCGAAAGCGCCATCCATTGGCGGAGGTTGTAATCATTTGGAGGCCTTACCCGCAACAATATATATAAGATTATTTTATCATTGCATCAAGGGCAGTAGAAAATTGTTTCAATTAAAAAAGAATCATACGCATCGAAAATAGTTTATATGGCGGGCTAATGTATCATATTGATATAAGATTGTATATAAATAGACACAGAGAGGAAAGGTTAAATTCCAATTTATAGGATTTTGAGAATTGGCCCACACCATCGGTCTTCAACATCATGATACTGGATTGGACACTTTTTTCTGTTTAAAAAAAAAGCTCCAATGGCCCCCGATTCTTGCCAAAGTCCAACCCCACCAGAGAGTGCAAGTAACCAAACGGGGCTCTGGCACATTTGTAAGTGCAAAGTCGAACTGCTTTTCACATGTGTAGACATGTGGTGCGCTTACAGTAAAAGCAGTCGCCTACTTCTACCCACCATGATTATCATGGCCTGTACCATGTGTAGACATGTGGTGTACTTACAGTAAAAGCAGTCGCTAACTACCCACCATGATTATCATGGCCTGTACCATGTGTAGACATGTGGTGTACTTACAGTAAAAGACAGTTGCTAACTATCCACCATGATTATCATGGCCTGTACCATGTGTAGACATGTGGTGTACTTACAGTAAAAGACAGTTGCTAACTATCCACCATGATTATCATGGCCTGTACCATGTGTAGACATGTGGTGTACTTACAGTAAAAGACAGTTGCTAACTATCCACCATGATTATCATGGCCTGTACCATGTGTAGACATGTGGTGTACTTACAGTAAAAGACAGTTGCTAACTACCCACCATGATTATCATGGCCTGTACCATGTGTAGACATGTGGTGTACTTACAGTAAAAGACAGTTGCTAACTACCCACCATGATTATCATGGCCTGTACCATGTGTAGGCATGTGGTGCACTTACAGTAAAAGACAGTTGCTAACTACCCACCATGATTATCATGGCCTGTACCATGTGTAGGCATGTGGTGCACTTACAGTAAAAGACAGTTGCTAACTATCCACCATGATTATCATGGCCTGTACCATGTGTAGACATGTGGTGTACTTACAGTAAAAGACAGTTGCTAACTACCCACCATGATTATCATGGCCTGTACCATGTGTAGGCATGTGGTGCACTTACAGTAAAAGACAGTTGCTAACTACCCACCATGATTATCATGGCCTGTACCATGTGTAGACATGTGGTGTACTTACAGTAAAAGACAGTTGCTAACTACCCACCATGATTATCATGGCCTGTACCACGTATACTAGGGATAAGCAAAAAAAAAAAAAAATGATACAGGAATACCTTTCATTGATTGCCTCAATAGCCTCCAATTCTTGCACAAGCCCACCAGTGGGTGCAAGTAACCAAATGTGGCTCCTTGTAGGTACAAAAGTTAAATTGTTTTACAGTGAGGCAGTTGCTAACCACCCACCATGATTATCATTGTCTGTACTACATGTACTTGGGCTAATGAATGGATACAATTTGGATTACATATCAGAAACACAAAGCAATAAGACCAAATTCAAATAAATTAATAGTGTATGATTCTTCGGTAACAGCGTTGTTACCGTCATCAGACAAAAAAAATTAATGAGTGTGATGATGGTAACAATTTGAATTTGGTGCTCATTTATTCTTTTGTCTGATGATGGTAACAACACTGTTACCAAAATGTTGCACCCTATTATTTATATAGATTTGGTCTTATTACCTTGTGTATACTTGGGATAGGTAAAAAAGATTTTAGGTAACAGATATGTTCCATGTGTTTACCTTACTATTAATATTTTGTGTAAGTAGAAGATGTTGCCAAAATATACAGATTTATAATTGAATCCTCTTCTATACAGTGAAACCCCACAATAACAAACCAAGGATATAGAAAACTTTCCTTCGTAACAAACTTAAAAGTAAACCCCAATTCCATTCCATTGAAAAAAAAAAATTTTTTGCTTATCCCTAGTACACGTGGTACAGGCCATGATAATCATGGTGGGTAGTTAACGACTGCTTTTACTGTAAGTACCCCACATATCTACACATGTGAAAAGCAGTTCGACTTTGCACTTACAAATTTGCCAGAGCCCCGTTTGGTTACTTGCACTCGCTGGTGGGGTTGGACTTTTGCAAGAATCGGGGGCCATTGAAGCATTTTTTTTTTTTTTAAACAGAAAAAAGTGTCCAATGCGGGAATCGAACCCGGGTCCTAGTGGTTGAAAACCAAAGTGTTTAACCAGCCTTGAAAAAAAAAAAAAATTGCTTGTTAAAACAATTGTTAATTCCATTGTTGAGCTTTTAAAATAACTGTTGGAAGAAATTCTACGGAGAAGAAAACATGTAAAACCTTTTATAAAAGGGAGCTCCTTTATTCTTAAACACAAGGTAATAGACCAAATCTAAATAAATAAATGAATAGAGAAACAATGACTCCTTCCAAACTTAACTTTATTGTTTAAAAGTTTTTTTTTTTGCTTATCCCTAGTACACGTGGTACAGGCCATGATAATAATGGTGGGTAGAAGAAGGCGACTGCTTTTACTGTAATATGTGAAATGCAATTCTACTTTGCACTTACAAATGTGCCAGAGCCCTGTTTGGTTAGTTACACTCGCTAGTGAGATTGAACTTTTGCAAGAAACAAGGGCCATTGGAGCTTTTTTTTTTTTTTTTATCAGAAAAAAGTGCCCAATGCAGGAATTGAACCCGGGTCATAGCAGTCGAAAACCAATGGTTTAGAAAATACTTTCACTGACCCCTGTTTTAAAATTTGATCAGGATAAGTCAAATATTGTGGAAACTTGTGTGAAACACTCACACTTTAGTTTTTAATTGCTGTGGGCCATTGTTATAACACCAACTTGGTTATAGTATTATAACTCCCAAGTTTTCCATCCCAATTGTTTTAACCATGGTTATAGCAAAATCTTGATCTTAGTGGGCCACCAAGTGTGGTTGTTGCAGGCCATTCCCTACAGTGAGGCAACATTTCCCCAAGTTCACTACAAGAGACATTCACCGGAACTATGTGGATTGTGTCCGATGGTTGGGACGGTTGGTTCTCTCCAAGGTCAGTCACCTCATCCCCTTGGCCACCTCACCCCCAGTTCTGACAGCTTGCTGCTGCAGTCATGTGAGAACTGCATCGTCTGCTGGAAGCCGGGGCAGCCAGATCAACAGGAACTGCCCCCCGACAGCTCCGTTACAGTTCTCTTCCGGCTAGACTTCAAGGAGTGTGATATCTGGTTCATGCGATTTTCTCTTGATGTTGAACAGAAGGTACGCATTTTACTTACCACCAATTCTTTGCCTGTTGAAGCAATTCATCAGGATTTTTCATGATCACTTGATCCATCAAACTGATAAATTTATTAAGGGCTAGCTTGCAAACAAAATTACTAAAGCCCCTATAATACATCAGCATTTGTATTCATACAAGATGATAGCTGTGAAACAACACAGTATAATAGAACAAATGGGTAAATAAGCAAGCATACACCAGTCTTGAGAGTTTCCATTTGGTTCTAAGACAGGTTGAATAAAATTGGTTACAATAAACATAAAACAATTCTTTCTTGTTACATTGCAATGAGATACTCCTAAAATAGGATATTCAATACATTTTGCTTTTGGGGGTTTAAAACATTTAGAAGTGATCGAGTTAGACAGGATCAGAGGCCTAAGAAAGCTAATTTAATGGAAAAACAAACTGTTCCCACTGACTCCTAAGACAGGGCAATTCCCAAGACAGGTTTTACTGAACTTTTGTTCTTGCTCTGGTGGGAGCAATCTGTCACAGCTATGGGAGGGCAGCAGCAAGCAAAATCCAGGCTTTAAGTATCTCCAAATGACCTTTGAATCACTCCTTTTTATGGCTGCATTTACCCAATCAGAAGGAATTAAAAATAAATTCATTTAACAAATTAAAAAATATATATATGTATTTTTTTTTAATCTCAAAAGGTGACTTTATCAAATAAATAGGTGAATATATATATATATATATATCAAATATATAAATTATTTTATCTCTCAAGAGTGCAGCATTAATAATCATCATCTTTAACTAGTGAAGAAGACATCAATATGCAGTCAAAAACACCTCTTTGATTCAACATCACAAGGGTTTGGTGCATCCCATTGAATTCTAGTTTTTTGAATTGAGAAGGTTGTGCATTATTTGTTACAAAAATGTCTTAGGTGAGTTCACTTTCATCTCTCTCTTTGATGTTTTCATTCACCTTACCACCGAAGTATGTGTAGTATAGCACTTTAATATTGAGCCAATGAATGCTGCTAGCTTCTATCAGAAAAGAAATAAAGTGACAGCTGTTTTTCAAATTTTCTACACAAAATTGGTCAATGGCCATTCATATGAAACAACAAGCCAACTATATATGTCTGATGCAGGCTTTACCCATTAATGGGAGAATCACCGTTTCATTTTAATTCCAGAAAAGGGTATTTAGAGTGTGTTAGCATTGCTAGAACCTGCTTTGAAAGATGGGGTTTAAAAGTTGAGAGGAAGAAGTCAGTGAAAAATGAAATGGCACATCCTGATTTTCTTGAAATTTGAAAAATCTTGAAAAATCAATTAGCTATTGATGTGTTTTTTTGATCGAATCAGAAACATTTAGTTGCAATGGTCAGGAGGTACCATTTCTTTATTCTGATCTCCTATTTTTTATAGCAGTTGTTAACTTGCTTTAAACTCTGATCAAACACCACATAGAACAGCCTCACTGATGCTCAGATAGGTGAAACATCTCAGTGTTTATTCCTCTTCTGAGTTTGCAATGCTTCAGCCACCGTCATCCCAATATCTTGTGTAACTTTAAAGCAAACACTTCTAAAACAAACCAGGGATATAGCGAATGGATAAAGATGCTGAAACCCGGATTCGAACCAGGGACCTTTAGATCTTCAGCCTAACGTTTTCCCAACTGAGCTATTTCATCTTGAATAGATAAAGAAGGAAAATAAGAACTTATTCAATAAAAAACTGATAAGCTAAGGAGCTACATGGAATTACATAAGAAGGAGCTAATCCGACACAACATGTGTGTTGAGCCATGGCTGTGTGTCCAGGTGTTGGCTCTAGGCAACCAGGCCGGGAAGGTCTACGTGTGGGACCTGGACTTAGATGACCCCACAGGACACAGGTCAGCTAGCTCTTCTCTATCTTCATCAGCAGCTGGGACTATTCTGGCATTCCAGTAGCAGCAACGTTGCAGTAGAACCTCTATCACAACAGCTACAACCAGTGTAGCTCTTCTCTATCTTCATCAGCAGCTGGGACTATTCTGTCATTTCAGTAGCAGCAACGTTGCAGTAGAACCTCTATCTTCTATAGAACAACAGCTACAACCAGTGTAGCTCTTCTCTATCTTCATCAGCAGCTGGGACTATTCTGGCATTCCAGTAGCAGCAACGTTGCAGTAGAACCTCTATCACAACAGCTACAACCAGTGTAGCTCTTCTCTATCTTCATCAGCAGCTGGGACTATTCTGTCATTTCAGTAGCAGCAACGTTGCAGTAGAACCTCTATCTTCTATAGAACAACAGCTACAACCAGTGTAGCTCTTCTCTATCTTCATCAGCAGCTGGGACTATTCTGGCATTCCAGTAGCAGCAACGTTGCAGTAGAACCTCTATCACAACAGCTACAACCAGTGTAGCTCTTCTCTATCTTCATCAGCAGCTGGGACTATTCTGTCATTTCAGTAGCAGCAACGTTGCAGTAGAACCTCTATCTTCTATAGAACAACAGCTACAACCAGTGTAGCTCTTCTCTATCTTCATCAGCAGCTGGGACTATTCTGGCATTCCAGTAGCAGCAACGTTGCAGTAGAACCTCTATCACAACAGCTACAACCAGTGTAGCTCTTCTCTATCTTCATCAGCAGCTGGGACTATTCTGTCATTTCAGTAGCAGCAACGTTGCAGTAGAACCTCTATCTTCTATAGAACAACAGCTACAACCAGTGTAGCTCTTCTCTATCTTCATCAGCAGCTGGGACTATTCTGGCATTCCAGTAGCAGCAACGTTGCAGTAGAACCTCTATCACAACAGCTACAACCAGTGTAGTTCTTCTCTATCTTCATCAGCAGCTGGGACTATTCTGTCATTTCAGTAGCAGCAACGTTGCAGTAGAACCTCTATCTTCTATAGAACAACAGCTACAACCAGTGTAGCTCTTCTCTATCTTCATCAGCAGCTGGGACTATTCTGGCATTCCAGTAGCAGCAACGTTGCAGTAGAACCTCTATCACAACAGCTACAACCAGTGTAGCTCTTCTCTATCTTCATCAGCAGCTGGGACTATTCTGTCATTTCAGTAGCAGCAACGTTGCAGTAGAACCTCTATCTTCTATAGAACAACAGCTACAACCAGTGTAGCTCTTCTCTATCTTCATCAGCAGCTGGGACTATTCTGGCATTCCAGTAGCAGCAACGTTGCAGTAGAACCTCTATCACAACAGCTACAACCAGTGTAGTTCTTCTCTATCTTCATCAGCAGCTGGGACTATTCTGTCATTTCAGTAGCAGCAACGTTGCAGTAGAACCTCTATCTTCTATAGAACAACAGCTACAACCAGTGTAGCTCTTCTCTATCTTCATCAGCAGCTGGGACTATTCTGGCATTCCAGTAGCAGCAACGTTGCAGTAGAACCTCTATCACAACAGCTACAACCAGTGTAGCTCTTCTCTATCTTCATCAGCAGCTGGGACTATTCTGTCATTTCAGTAGCAGCAACGTTGCAGTAGAACCTCTATCTTCTATAGAACAACAGCTACAACCAGTGTAGCTCTTCTCTATCTTCATCAGCAGCTGGGACTATTCTGGCATTCCAGTAGCAGCAACGTTGCAGTAGAACCTCTATCACAACAGCTACAACCAGTGTAGTTCTTCTCTATCTTCATCAGCAGCTGGGACTATTCTGTCATTTCAGTAGCAGCAACGTTGCAGTAGAACCTCTATCTTCTATAGAACAACAGCTACAACCAGTGTAGCTCTTCTCTATCTTCATCAGCAGCTGGGACTATTCTGGCATTCCAGTAGCAGCAACGTTGCAGTAGAACCTCTATCACAACAGCTACAACCAGTGTAGCTCTTCTCTATCTTCATCAGCAGCTGGGACTATTCTGTCATTTCAGTAGCAGCAACGTTGCAGTAGAACCTCTATCTTCTATAGAACAACAGCTACAACCAGTGTAGCTCTTCTCTATCTTCATCAGCAGCTGGGACTATTCTGGCATTCCAGTAGCAGCAACGTTGCAGTAGAACCTCTATCACAACAGCTACAACCAGTGTAGTTCTTCTCTATCTTCATCAGCAGCTGGGACTATTCTGTCATTTCAGTAGCAGCAACGTTGCAGTAGAACCTCTATCTTCTATAGAACAACAGCTACAACCAGTGTAGCTCTTCTCTATCTTCATCAGCAGCTGGGACTATTCTGGCATTCCAGTAGCAGCAACGTTGCAGTAGAACCTCTATCACAACAGCTACAACCAGTGTAGTTCTTCTCTATCTTCATCAGCAGCTGGGACTATTCTGGCATTCCAGTAGCAGCAACGTTGCAGTAGAACCTCTATCACAACAGCTACAACCAGTGTAGTTCTTCTCTATCTTCATCAGCAGCTGGGACTATTCTGGCATTCCAGTAGCAGCAACGTTGCAGTAGAACCTCTATCACAACAGCTACAACCAGTGTAGCTCTTCTCTATCTTCATCAGCAGCTGGGACTATTCTGGCATTCCAGTAGCAGCAACGTTGCAGTAGAACCTCTATCACAACAGCTACAACCAGTGTAGCTCTTCTCTATCTTCATCAGCAGCTGGGACTATTCTGGCATTCCAGTAGCAGCAACGTTGCAGTAGAACCTCTATCACAACAGCTACAACCAGTGTAGCTCTTCTCTATCTTCATCAGCAGCTGGGACTATTCTGGCATTCCAGTAGCAGCAACGTTGCAGTAGAACCTCTATCACAACAGCTACAACCAGTGTAGCTCTTCTCTATCTTCATCAGCAGCTGGGACTATTCTGGCATTCCAGTAGCAGCAACGTTGCAGTAGAACCTCTATCACAACAGCTACAACCAGTGTAGTTCTTCTCTATCTTCATCAGCAGCTGGGACTATTCTGTCATTTCAGTAGCAGCAACGTTGCAGTAGAACCTCTATCTTCTATAGAACAACAGCTACAACCAGTGTAGCTCTTCTCTATCTTCATCAGCAGCTGGGACTATTCTGGCATTCCAGTAGCAGCAACGTTGCAGTAGAACCTCTATCACAACAACTACAACCAGTGTAGTTCTTCTCTATCTTCATCAGCAGCTGGGACTATTCTGTCATTTCAGTAGCAGCAACGTTGCAGTAGAACCTCTATCTTCTATAGAACAACAGCTACAACCAGTGTAGCTCTTCTCTATCTTCATCAGCAGCTGGGACTATTCTGGCATTCCAGTAGCAGCAACGTTGCAGTAGAACCTCTATCACAACAGCTACAACCAGTGTAGTTCTTCTCTATCTTCATCAGCAGCTGGGACTATTCTGTCATTTCAGTAGCAGCAACGTTGCAGTAGAACCTCTATCTTCTATAGAACAACAGCTACAACCAGTGTAGCTCTTCTCTATCTTCATCAGCAGCTGGGACTATTCTGGCATTCCAGTAGCAGCAACGTTGCAGTAGAACCTCTATCACAACAGCTACAACCAGTGTAGCTCTTCTCTATCTTCATCAGCAGCTGGGACTATTCTGGCATTCCAGTAGCAGCAACGTTGCAGTAGAACCTCTATCTTCTATAGAACAACAGCTACAACCAGTGTAGCTCTTCTCTATCTTCATCAGCAGCTGGGACTATTCTGGCATTCCAGTAGCAGCAACGTTGCAGTAGAACCTCTATCACAACATCTACAACCAGTGTAGTTCTTTAGAGAGAGAGAGGTGTCCTCTTACTGGAGAGCAGCTAATTACCAACAAATAGCCTTGAACACTGTCCTATGTAGAGGGATGTTCTCTAGTGGGAATGGACTCTCATGGAGGTTCTATTGCACCAACATATGAGTAGTTTTTAGTGAATAAAAACTTCACAACATGCCTCAAATCTGTAACAATGCTGATACTTACAATGTCATGCTCAGAAAATATGCTCATACTTATTTTAGATTTTGGTCTCGATATCCTTGTTATATTTTAAGATTAATTTCAATTATACATTATCATGATATTTTATTCTATTTTATTCATGATAAATTATAATTTTTGATGAGATGATGATATTCATGGCCTCTCTCTTTATGAAACTTCATTAAAATAATGAGCCACGACACCCGTTTGGCAAATTTAGACAAAAGCCAACAATCTGTATACCCCAGTGTTGGGACCCATATCAATACAGGGGACTACTACATTGTAACACCTTACAAGAGAAGTCATGGAGAACCTGCCAAGGAAGTGTCCTAGCAGTTGTAGGGCTGCTCTTGGCTCCTAATACGCTCTGCCATCTAAAAAGCACATGTGCTTGTGGTCAGGAGATGCCTTCTTTATTTTATATACATTATTATATGAAAAAATAGTACAAATGTGATATTGTACTGGGATAAGGTGCATAAATTAAGAAAAAAGGCATCTCCTTATCGTGCAACTGAAAGTTGCTGATGGCTTGCGCCATCTATCAGAATAAATATCAACTGTGGTTAGCTTTACTTGATTAATCAAGAATGGGTATTTGGCCAATTCTGGAATAATTAGAAATCAACGAGAATAGTTGATATTTATTCCGATAGATGGCGCAAGCCATCAGCAACTCTCAGTTGCATGATAAGGAGATGCCTTTTTTCTTAATTTACATTATTATATGATGGGAAGATGATAATCATGAACAAAAAAAAAATCCTCTCTCCCTTTATAAAAACACATAAAAATGATTCACAATGATATCTACACAAGTGA